AATTCAACCTTCTTGATTTAATAAAAGATAATGATAGGTACCGGGTATGTTAATATAACTAACAACATCTGTATGACTGGATTTGACATTTCCTTCTGTAGTTCCACTCTTATCTCATCTATCTTCCACATGCTTCCTGTGATGTTACCTACTCCTGGAACTAAGGAGTTTGCCATTGAACCAGCTTTACCTCTATTTGCTTCATTTGCTGTTTCTTTTTAAAGTTGAACAACAACCCACATTCTGTACAAGCATTGACCTAAGCTTCAAATCATGCATTTATTTTCACCTTCATATTCAATGCACACAAACTGCTGGATGACTTTTGCAATGTGCTGACTTCCACTCTCACCAAAATACCACCTACAGCCTGTCCTGCACTAACAGTAGCTTCTCTACTGCTCATGCTTGCTGATCCAAACATCAAATTAAAATTCTTTGTCTACACATCCTCAATGATCTGTACCTGTATGTAATTTATGTATTTTCTCCAGTATTGAACGTAGAACCTCACCCCTATATTTTTTTAAAGAAAAGCATTACAAGACGTTCTTTATGCAAAAACAAATTTAACAAGGCAATTTTAAAACACGTGTGCTCATTATTTTCATAGAATGATAGAATCCCTACAGTGTGGAAGCAGGCTAATCAGCCCATTGAGTCCACACTGATCCTCTGAAGAGCATCCCACCCCGACCCACACTCCTATAACCCTGCAGTTCCCATGGCTAATCCACCTAGCTAGCACATTCCCAGAAACTGTGGGCAATTTAACATGGCCAATCCACCTAACCTGCACAACTTTGGACAGTGGGGGGAAACTGGAGCACCCAGGGTAAACCCACGCAGTCACGGGGAGAATGTGTAAACGCCACACAGACAGTCGCCCAAAGGTAGAATCAACCCGGGTTCCTGGTGCTGTGAGGCAGTAGAGGTAACCACTGAGCCACTGTGCTGCCTATGCTGGAAGAAACAATGGGGAGGGGTTTTATGGTACAGCTTTTATGTTAGTGGTCTTTCCACTTTAATTCAGTAGAACATAAACATTTCTACCTTTCAAAACACACAATAAAAGGGCAGATTGTACATAAATGCAATATTGATGTTTCACAATCACTGAAACATTCTAATTCTGCACTAACTTTCATTTGTAGTTTGAACAAATGTGTTTGCATCTTTGTGGGGCAACATATTCCTCACATCTCAATATTTACTATAAATAACATTATGCCAAATAATATTATAGAGTCTCTTAGTAATTACCACCTAAACTACATAGTTGTAGAACTATGTTGTAGAATCATGGAATCCCTACAGCAGGACATTCAGCCCATTGAGTTCACACTGACCCTCCAAAGCGCATCCCAACTCCCTTACCTATCTCTGTAACCCTGCATTTCCCATGGCTAATCCATCTAGCCTGCATATCTTTGGACCGTGAGAGAAAAGCAGACCACATGGAAGAAACCCACACAGACACAGAGAGAATGTGCAAACTATACAGTCACCTGAGGATGGAATTGATCCTGGGTCCCTGGCACTGAGGCAGCAGTGCTAACGACTGAGCCATTATGCTGCAGTTATAATTCATGAGTGGAGTGTATATGCTCTCTCATATGTTTTGATTGTTTTGCCTAGTTTCTGACCCATGTTCAGCTAAAAATATTTTAAAACCAGTGCATGGTCCCTGGAAAATAATTTTGTTGTAGGAATTTTGAAGGCATACATTAGTAAAATGGATATCCTTAAGCTGATCAAGCTCAGCCCCTGGGTTGAACAGAATTGACCTTGTAATCAAAATTAAATACATTCTGATTTCTAATTTTCAGTTTCAAAACTATTCAATGCTTATACCATTGTCTGAATTGGAAGTTGTAATATTTCAGATGACTGATAATGGTATATATTTAATAAGATGTACAAGTTACCACCTTCCAAGATTGTATTTTGGTCATCTTTTAAAACTTGGGGATGAAGTCAACTTGAACAGGTGTGCAAATATTTGCAGGTCAGTGAAAATGTAATGGATGAGTCATGGGTAAATAATCCAGATAGACCTTCTTCAGGTGGATAGAGCCAACAATGAATGTTATTCAAATGAACTTCCGGAAGCCAGGGCGAACATATAGTATTATTGCAAAAACAATAACGTGCAGCCTGGGATACAGCTTTGTGACATCAATCAGTAATTGGTTAGGTCATTAACAGGAAGGATAAAGGATGTTGTTGTGAATGGCATTCCCTACTGACTGAACTCAGCTCCACAGATTTTCATCGTATTGCTAATGATTTAGATGAACACAATTGTATATCCCTGTTTGCTGATTACACTAAACTAGGCACTTCTACAGGTGGTGTGCGTTGGTGTCAGATTCAATTGAAGCATTGGGTCATTACTGTGATAGAAATAAGGTGCAGGGATATGGAGAAAAGGCAGGAGGTTGGCACTGGGTAACAGTACCTGCACCGGCTCTATATCCTGAACGGCCTCCTACTAATGCCATAACAATTCTGCGATTCTCTGGTAACAGTTATAATGGGCACTGACAGCAAGCAGGGAAAGCCATCAGATGGCTTTCAATTTGTGTAAGTGTTAGGGCATCCACCTTGAAGTACAAAATTGCACGTTGCTACGGTGAGACTGGAAGCTGTGGGCATGGGGAGGGGAAACATGACAAATCACTGAAACATAATGAACAAGCAATAAAGTAATTAAAAGGTTTAATAGAAATTTATCTTTACATAAAGGGAACTGCAATCAAAAGACAGAAGGAATGCTTCAAAACTTTGACTGCAAGATCATTAGATGCAGAAGTACAGCCCATCAAGTCTGCTCCACCATTTAATGAACTCATGGGTGATCTGTTAGCCCTCAATTCAGTTTTCCTGCCTTTTCCCTATAACACAGATTCGTTTACTGATTAAAAATTTGTCTCTCCCACTTTGGTCAGTTTTCATTTTAATTAGTGCATTGATTTTGTGTACCAAACTTCAGGAAAGACGTATTGGAATTGAGAGTACAGCTTAGATTTATCAGAATAATACAGAGGCTTCAAAAATTAACTTAGGAGAAGATATATTAATTTGATTTGTATTTTCCTGAGTTTATACAGTTCATGGTTCTATTTAAGGGATTTATAATTAGGTATGACAGGTTTAGAATAGATATAGTGAAGTAATTTCATTTTGTGACGGAATCCAGAAGAGGCCAGAATCTTGAAGTTACAACAAGGTTCTCTGAGCAAAACATCAGTTTTTTTCCACACAAAGGTTACTGTGCCATCTGGAACCCTTTCTCCTAAAAATGATTATGGAACCAACTGAGATTTTCAAGGCAGACATTGATAGAATTTAGTTAATGATTATTGAAAGAAGGATTCATGTTAAGACGCATCTATGACAGCCTGAGAGATGAACAGCCCATTCCAGTACTATCATTGTGCTAGTCACATGTATACCACAGGCAAAGGTAATTCACCACTCAGATTTCATACAACTCACTCATTGGCCAGAAACTGGTTTATTTCCCATGGTGTATTATCTTTATAAATACAATAGCTACATGCACAGGTCAGGAACTAGGAATCCTGCAGCAAGAACTCACCTCCTCACTCCACAAAGCCTGTTAACCATCTATAAGGCACAAGTCAGGAGCTGATGGAATATTCCCCTCTTGTTGGGATGTGGGAGACGATAACTCAAGAAGCTCAGCATCATACATGACAAAGCAGTTTACTTGATTGGCACCACATCCATAACCTCTACAACCAATGCTCAGTAGCAGCAGTGTGTACTATCTACAAGACACACTTCAGGAGTTAGAGATAGTAGGAACTGCAGATGCTGGAGAATCCGATACAACAAGGTGCAGGGCTGGATGAACACAGCAGGCCAAGCAGCATCATAGGAGCAGAGAGGCTGACGTTTCGGGCCTAGACCCTTCATCAGAAAAGCAGGAATTAACTGTGGCTCCTTAGATAGCACCCTCCAAGCACATGTCCACTACCACCTAGAGGAACAAGGGCAGCAGATACATAGAATATCACCTCCTCCAATCCACTCATCATATTGACATCGAAGTACATCACCACTCCTTCAGGGTTAATGGGTCAGAACTTGGAACTCTCTCTCTAATGGCATTGGAAGTCTACCTAAACCAAATGGATGGCAGCAGTTCAAGGTGGCAAGTCAGCGACACATTCTCAAGTGCACTTAGGGAAGGACAATAAATGCTGGCCCAGCCAGCAATACCCCTATATCCCAGGAATTACTTTTTACAAAAATAAATGCAGGTCTGTTCTAAATGATTACTCTTTCACTACCTTTTTCTTTCTGCAAAATCTGTCTTAGTCTTGTAGCAAATTGTGAACTCTTTCCCCACTATACAAACAGCAAATATATACAAACGATTGCAAAGAATAGTTAGTAATGTTAATTTTTACTCACATAGAGGGCAAACCTTTAGCCAGTAAATAACTGCATTCACCCCCTCTTAAGAGCAACGATTCACACTCAGATATGGTTGCACAGACATCAGGAACCCATGATCCTAGTTAATTTCTATGCATGCGCAAGCTAAGGCTATGAAGGTCCACTGAAAATTTGATGCGTGGGAAGTATCATAGCTGAGGCTAATCCTGCTCGGACCTCACCTTCACACGTGCAGTTTTTAACAGATAATCAATAGACAGCAATTAGCAGTCAGAAACAAAGTTGGGCTTTCTCCCTCCCATGGCCAAGGATATTGAACTAAGCTGCAGCATCCCATTAATGAGATTAATGATCTATTCCTATGTGGCTCCATATCACAACTAGTGGAAACAAACAACTCAATTGTGATTCAAGTGTAAGAGAAAGTTGAAGAGTCTTAAAATTAGATGAAGTAGTATTTATTTCTTCCATACAACCTGGCAAAGATTTCAAACAAAGTCCAAGTTCATTTTCAAGTTTATTGCAACTATAAACTGTGGAAAAGCTTACTGTAAATGAGTTATACTAGAAAAAAATAGGAGCAAAAATATTATTGGAATAGAATAGAAAATGGCATCTTTTAGTATAGCACCAGTAAACTATAAGTGCAGGCAGGTGTAGTAAAATATATAGATTTGAACAAAATTGTTAATCTTTTTATAACAATGGCATTACAAAAAAATCACATTCTGATAACATTAAATTTATCATGAAACCTTTGCAACTAAATTTATTCTAAAAATAGCCAGTTTTATTGTTTTATTTTAAATCTCTGTCTGGTTCTTATTGCTGGTAGTGTTTGATGACAAATACATCAGTAAAAACCCTCAACCACAGCAAACCATGCACTGACCTCTTAAAAATAAAATAATCACCCAGCAGTTTAAATCCAACATTTCCCATCATGAAAATTCAGTGCATCAGCCAATTTATTATGCAGGCGCTCAGAACAGTAAAGTTATGATTTTTAGAATTACAAATATCCCTGGATTCTTGAACTGTTCCAAGAGTTTAATTTTCTCATGAGCTTGCTAGTGACTGATGAATAGGTGGCTGGAAACAGCGGACATGCTCCACAGGTACATTCTCGCTGTCACCTGACTTCAGATACTTGTTCAAGATAGCAAAGATCTCATTATTGAGAATCTGGAACTTGCGAATTCTGTCAACCATTTTCTTCAAAGGCTGCAAATTAAAATAAAACAAACTCCGTAAATGGTGATTTAGAAATTATACAATGTAAAATCATAAATGATAATCAGACATTTGGTCTCCTTATCTGAGGAGGGATGTTCTTGCCATAGAGGGAGTGCAGTACAGTCTACCAAGTTGATTCCTGGATGACAGGTCTGACACATGAGGAGAGATCGAGTTGGTTAGGATTGCATTCACTGGAGTTGAAAAAAATGGGTGGGGAGCGGGTCTCACAGAAACTCAAAATTCTAACGGGGCTAGACAGGTTACATGCAGGATGTTTTTGATAGTGGGTGAGTCCAGAACCAGGGGTTATGGTTTAGGGATAAGGAGTAAAGCTTTTAGGACTGAGATGAGGAGAAATGTCTTCATCCAGACAGTGGTGAGCCTGTGGAATCTGCTACCACAGAAAGTGGTTGAGGTTAAAACATTACTTTTTTCAAGAAGGAGATAGATATAGTTTGTGGGTAAAGGGATCAAGAGATTAGGTAGTGAGCTCAATGATGAGCCATGATTATAATGAACAGCAAAGGCTCAAAGGGCCAAATGGCCTACGCCAGCTCTGATCTAATCCACATGATCCCATATTATTATTAAGTTTAAGGATCCAACGTGCAAACGTTTCATCATGCTTACAAATGGATATTTTATAGTGCAGGGTCTTGTGTTCGACTTGCGTACGCATTAACTTACGATTGTTTTATTTTCTTTACTCGTTCATGGGATGTGGGTGTCTCTGGTCAGGCGAGCATTTATTGCCCGTCCCTAATTGCCCAGAGGGCAGTTAAAAGTCAACTACATTGCTGTGGATCTGGAGTCACATGTAGGCCAGACCAGGTAAGGATGGCAGTTTCCTTCCCTGAAGGACATTAGTGAACCAGATGGGTTTTTCCAACAATCGACAATGGATTCACGATTATCATTAGATTCTTAATTCCAGATATTTATTGAATTCAAATTCCACCATCTGCTGTGGCGGGATTCGAACTCAGGTCCCCAGAAAATTTTCTGCGCCTCTGGATTAACCATCCAGCGATAATACCGCTAGGCCATCACCTCCCACTTAATGTACTCAGGAATGGATTCCATTCGTAACCAGGGTCTGCCTATATGGTTACTCAATCTTTCTAGATTTCTTCAGTGGGGATGTTGCAGTCAACTGAAGCTACCATGACTACCATTTAACTAGTTCTCAACTGGTTACTTTAAGATTCTTGTTCACGAATTGTTCCTTTTCCATCCCTTTATTGCTGTGAAATAGTTCATTATTGGGATGGGTTACATCAAACTGTGAAGTGACCATTGAACAGTACTCCACTTTTCCAGTAAATGCATGGTTTCTCAAATGCCGGAATAAGTGATTTCATCATACAGATTTAATGGCAGCCAAGTGAAGATGTTCAAGGTAAACATACCACATTTTTGAGGACATCATCTTTCCCATCATGTTTCTGAACTTTGAGCAAATGATAACAGAAGTCGAGGACATCAAATCGGCGTTGCTGTCCAAGCAGTGTAATGATCATACAGCCAGCCCAGTGCAATCCATCTCCGAAGCACTGCCTGTGTGATTTAAAGGCAAGGTTAATGCTGAGTAGCACAGAGAGTTTGAATGATTTCAGATTGACTGGATAGATTATGATAGGTCTTTCAGATTTGATCGGAAAGTTAAATTAGACCTGAATGTTTCCCTATACCACACCATATCAAGAAGCTAACCTAATCAATCAGCCTATTTGAACGATGTGAACTGAGGCCCTCTCATCAGGAAAATGCCTTGTATTAAGCCTGGTCTGTGCTCAATTAGCCAACCTCAATTATAGCCACTGGCCTGAGGATCTTAAGATAGAGAGGGATCAAGGTGTCTACTCTTTATTTGGGAATTCTTATTGGAACTGTGCCTGGGAGAATCAGGTTAGATCAGGTACAGATTAGATTAGATCAGGTACAGGTTAGATTGAGAGATATCATTAACGCTAACAAATGAACATGGGGTGCAGCTTGTGCTGCTTTGGAAGTTAAATGTTAAAACAGCAAGGCACTTACTCTACAGTGAACTCATGTGCTCCCACAGGAATACAGTAAACAAACTGCATGGCGCTCCACAGCCTGTGGAATTCCACACATTCATCCACATGCATTACTCCATTAGTCGGAAGAGGTCCACGCCATATGGGATCATCCAAGAACTGCCGGATTCGTGTCAGAATCACTTCAAACATGGAGAGACCACAACACAGCCGTTCCTTTGTCAGCAGATCACCTTCTCTCGCAATTGCAACTTGCTGGTTACAGGAAGGTTTAAAAATAAAATCCAGAATTAAATGTTCATCTCTCAGGTAGACTATCTTAATTTTCTATTTTTAACGTCATTGAGACTAATGGAATATGCAACAGTTTTAAAATGCTTCATTAACAATTACCGCTTGCGTATGTAATGATTTTTAAAAACCACTGTCCGATTTCTCAGATTTGCTCACAACAAATACCAGGATATTCCTGGGCCAGGTCAGCAAGATGCTCAAGACAGGCTTGGCAGTCACGATGAATAGGGTTTTGTGAAGGAGATGCACAGAGAGTAAAATGTCCGCAAGTGTTTATAATTGACTTCAGTTTTCCATGGTCAATCATAAAAATATAGAAAAGAACCTAAACGAGGAATTAGGAGGGCTAAAAGGACCATTCTTATCTTTCATCCTCACAGGAACATGCTGATTCTGAACTCTGATCACTGGCCTTTAAAAGACCTACATCAGATGTGAGTTTACTGTCAAACAGCTGCCCTAATCTCATTTCTCCAGTTCCTGCCTAATACTGCTGTAATTAGCCTTCCCCAATTTAGCACTTTCATCCGAGGACCAATCTTATCCTTGTCCATAACTATCTCGAACATCTCAGAATTATGATCACTGTTCTCAAAATGCTTCCCCCACTGAAACTTCAATCACCTGGCCAGGCTCATGCCCCAATAAAAGGTCTAGTACAGCTCCTTCCTTAGTGGACCATCTTCTTTATTATTTCAAGAAACCCTCCCGGATGCACCTAACATATTCTGCCCCATCTAAATCCTTGACACAAAGGGAATCCTAGCCAATACTGGGGGAAGTTAAAATCACACACTATAACTTACAGACAGTGCGAGAGTTCCTACACAAGTCAATTTAAAGGTTAGAAACAGGCTGCTGGAGAGTTTTTCCAAACAAGTGTCTTTGTTTTATAAATAGTCATTTGGTAGTACAGAAGTTGAGAACTGCTTCAAAAAAACATGTTACATTGCTAGTTCTTGCAAATTGTCCTGAGAACTGCAAGCTGCAGAGTTTCTACAAAACATGCTAGGCGACAGCTGGCGTTTGTGTGACTTGTGCTATAGAAAATCACATTATATGGAAATCGCTATATCTGTACAGCAGGAAGTTCGCATTATCCAAACACCGTCCACTATTCATCATTCACGTTACAGTCAATTTGCAAAGCGAAACATACGTTATAACAGAACTACCTATATTTTCAGCGGTATTCATGTCTTTATTCTTATAATATACTACTTACGCTAGGCACTGTGCAACATCTGGAGTGTAAAAGAACTGAAGGAAACCAGAGTATTCACATCATAATTGTTCCCACAAAGAGTTGGTCATTATAAGTTTCAGAACGTGTTCTTTTACAAGGGCTGTGGCATGTGCAATTCTGCTGTTTAAAATGGGAAGTCATACCCTTCAAGCTTCTAACATCTAAATGTTATTCAGCAAACAATAACTAATGTCAGAACTAAAATGCTGCTCGAGTTTCAGGTTTCAAACATATCCAGTTATTTGAAAAGTCATTCAGAGGTTAGATACGTCAGCTCCCGAGTATCAAATCACCTCTATTGTCAGGAACACTCAAAGACAGAACTTTCAATGCAGTTGACAGCAAATCTGTCAGATTAACTTTTCAGAACTATTATTCATAAATGATCTCAGACAAGGAACTTCAATTTAAAAAATAACCAGTTTGTTCAGTTATTGGCCAGTACAAAACTAAAAACCTAAAAATCCATATCAATCTAAATTGATTGGCTTGACACACTTTGTTTCAGCCTTGGGATTTACCTCCTTTTGAATGGAGGGGTAAATTCCAGACTGTTGAGAATTTCAAGAATGTGCAAGTAAAATGATTCCTAGATTATCTCACTAGGCATTCGTTAGATGGAGGTGCACATTCTTCTGCTGCACAGTAATGATGTCTTCCAATGAAGAATTTGCAACATGGACTGAGGATCAAATTTATAGCTTGCAGTTAAGTAACTACTAAAACATGAGTGTTTCTTAGAAGTTCTTGCACAGATATCTGTTTCAGCTGTATTGAGGCAATAAACATTGGTTCAAATAACCTTTGAATAATTGCATGTGTGTGCAAACGTGAAGAGGTAATTCAAATCAGTATCCATTCAAGGGAGCTTTGAATGATTATTTCGATAGAAATGGTGTGCAGGAATATGGGGAAAAGACAGGAGATTGGCACTGATAATAGAATCAGTACAAGCAAGAAGGGCTGAGTGGCCTCCTTCTGCACTGCAACAATTCTATGATCTTGTAACGTTCGAGTTCCAACAAAATGTACTATCAGCAAAGAAATTACCTGAGGTGTTCCAAGTCGTTCTATCAGTGGAACAAGATGAAGTGCAGCATATTTAGCTTCCAGTCTCTTCATCTTTGTGTCCAGCCGCTCACCCTCTGATTAATTAGATAGGTAATATCATAAACATAAACATAAACATCATAACTTATCCAACGTAGGAAGCTTGATGCATTTCCCCGTATTAATCCCTGTAATTAGCTCCTGTGTACAAACTTAATCTTTTAGTCTCAAGTTAAATCATGAAGTTTCAGATCGATATTAAGTGATTCGATTTACACTCGCTTCAAGTTTAATTTTTGTTATTCAAATTCAAAATACATGTAAAATACACATTTATTCAATTAAAATGCACAGCCCTTCATTTTAGCAAGGACTGAGCTAAATCCAGAAGGACTTTAGATTTCTTTAAGACAGAAAATTCTTGCAAGAACTGCTATTAATTAATACCTCAATCAAGGCCAACAGAGGTGTATTAAATGTCAAATATGCTTGAATAAATTGATTAGAGTTTTTTTGGAATTTTCTAGTCTTGACAAGACACTTGACAAGAGTAATGTAGTTGATGCATCTCCAAAAAAGCACTTGTTGATGTGTCACATAATAGGCTCATCAGCGAAACTGAAGCCATAGAATAAAAGTGACAGCGGCATTAGGAATATAAAGTTGGGTGAGCACCAGGAAGCAAAGAATAATGGTGACAGTTTTTCAAAATTGAAGGAAGGTATAATGAGGGATTGGTAATTGGACCATTGCTTTCCCTGATTTGTGGAAATGACCTAGACTTTGGTGTGCAGAGCACAATTTCAAAATTTTAGACAAGACAAAATGTGGGGGGATTGTAAACTATGAAAAACAGTAATGGACAGACATGTAGCAGATGAAATTTAATGAAGAAAATTATGAGGTGGTACATTTTGATAAGAACAACAAGGTGAGGCAATACTAAACAAAGGGTACAATTCCAAAAGGGGTGCAGCAGTAGAGACACTGGCGGGAGGGGAATGTGTATACAAATTGCTGAAGGTGGCAGGGCAAACAAACAAGATGCTAGTTTTTATGCATAGGCATAGAATACAAAAACAAGGAAGTTAGGATGAAACTTAATCAAATACTGGTTTGACCTTAACTATTTTTCCAGTTCTGTGTGCCACATTTTAGAGAAAATATAAAGATACAGGAGAATGGTTCCAGGAAAGAGGACTTCAGATACAAGAACAGATTAGAAAAGCTGGGGCTGTTCTCCTTAGAGAAGGTTGAGAGGAGACTTGACAGAAGTGTTCAAACTGACGAGTTGTCTGGGAGGAACTGTTTCAATTGGCAGAAGGGTCGAAAACCAGAGGATACAGACTTAAGGTGAATGGCAATGTGAGGAAAAATGTTTTTACACAGTGAACAATTAAGTTCTAGACTGCATTGCCGGAATGTGTAATCAACTTTAAATGTGACTTATAATAGGGACTTGGCCATTACTTCACTCGCTTGTAGATCAAAATTGTCCAACTTGGCTTTGAATACATACACATTGCTCCAGAGAAGAAAATTCCAAAGGTTCATGACCCTCTTAAAAAAAATTGTCTTAAACGGGTGACCCAAGACTTTGAAATTGTGCCCCCCGTTCTAGATTATCCACAAGGAGAAATAAGGCTGGCAAGACTCCCCGCTCCCCTCCAAGGATCTTATACATTCCTGTAAAATCACTTCTTATTCTTCAAAACCTCACTGAACATATCACTGAACCTGAACAACGTTTCCTCAGAAAACATTCAATCCACGAATTAACTGAATGAACCTCCTTTGAAGAATCTTCAATACAAATATATCCACCCTTAAATAAGGCCTCCAAAAACTGTAGAAAGTACTCTAAGTGAAGTCTCAGCAGTGCCCTTTACAGTTGTAGCAAACCTTCCATACCTTTAATATTCCAGCTCCCTTGCAATAAAGGCACATTCCATTTGTCTTCCTAATTACTTGCTGTACCTCATGTTAACTTTATGTAATTTATTCCTCCTTTAGTTCTGTAACCGATTTGTAGCTCTTAAAAATATTAATTTTAAGGCATGATGGCTTCATGATGGGGTCACGATTTCAAGGTGAGAGGGGAAAGTTTAAGGGAGATATGCGTGGAAAGTTCTTTATGCAGAGGGTGGTGGGTGCCTGGAACGCGTTGCCAGAGGAGGTGGTAGAGGTGGGCACGATAGCATCATTTAAGATGTATCTAGACAGATACATGAATGGGCAGGGAGCAGAGGGATACACATCCTTCGAAAATATGCGACAGGTTAAGATAGAGGATCTGGAGCGGCACAGGCTTGGACTGTGCTGTAATTTTCTTTGTTCTTTGTTCAAGTCACTGTATTCATGTTATTTGAAATGTTAACTACATTAGCCTAAAGACAATATGGGAATAGCTATTTAAGGCTAAAAAAGCATTAAAATTATTACATTGAATTCAATGACCAGTAACTAGCGCTCCCAGCATTACCTTTGACATAGATTCTTGGCAAAATATTCTGGAATGGTGCTGCATGTAGCAAGTCACAGACTTCTTCGAGAGACTGAGGAGAGAAGACACATTCAGGCAACAATTCAGAAGTTGTGCATAAAACTATGCAAGAAAATTTGCTATTGCATTACACTGAAAAAGTAAAGTGTGAAATAGTTGATTTGTTTACTTATTGTGATATTCTTAACCCATTATATTCAGTAACAGATTTGTGCTGGAGAACAATGTGCTGTTAGTGAGCAATGAGCCAGGCAGCCTGATTCATAAGAACTTCTCTGGATGGCACAGCTGATTGGGAACTTCTTATAAATGGTTAAAGTGCCTTCATATCAGGAGCTAAGGGGAAATTTGGAATATTCAATAGTAATTCGCAAAAAAAGGGATAAGTAATGTACTTAAATAACACAAATTTGCAGAGCAATGAGGAAAAGTTGCACTGACTGGATAATTAACCACCTCTTCGATTCCATTAGGTACCCAACAATTGCAGATGAATAAAATTATATGCATTCTGACTTTTCACAATGACTAGAAAACAACTCACTCTAAACATTGTGCAAAACGATGCGGTATTAAAAAGCTTTACTACCCACAAAATAGATACAGCATACAAATCAAATGTGCTACTGTTCAGCATGGGAACATGTGCAGGAAAACCCTCCAGCAGTAGCCACTGTGAAGCCGAATTTCAGATATGGAGCAGCGGCTGCAGTCATCCACATCCATGAGACTGGATAACATGGACAGTGAGGTGGTCACATTGTGATACAGAATGCACAGGCAGAAAGGAAATGGGTGACCATCAGTCTGAAACAAGGTACTAGGCAGTAGCACAGGAGTCCCATGCTCCAATTCTCTGTCTAACAGAGTTTCTGTTTTGGTAACTGCTGGGAGAGATGGTTTCTCAGGAGGATGCAGGAAGAGCCAAGTCTATAATGTCGTGAGTGGTTTTGGGGAAGGAAGCAATTGCGGTAGAGGATTCTATTATAAGGAGAATAGATCAATGTTTCTGAAGTCACAGATATGATTCCAAGATGTTACAGTGCCTGGATAGTGCCAGCATCAAGAATGTCAATGAGTGGCAGTGGTAAATTCTGAAGGGGGAAGAGAGTACAGCCTGAGGTGACAGTCCACATCAGTACCAATTCTTTAGGTTGAAAAAGGGTCGGGATTCTGCAAACAAAATATAGGGAGCTAGGAAATAAATTTCAAAGCAGGACCCCAAAAGATAGTTCATGCAGGATTAATCCCAGTGCCATGTGCTAGTGAGATCAGGAATAGGAGAAACTGACCTTTGCTTGGCTGCAGAGATAGTGTAGGAGGGAGGGATTTAGATCCTGTGGCATCATGATCAACTCAAGGGAAGGTGCAACCTGTACAAACTGGACAGGTTGCACCCCAGCAGCACAGAACTGTTCACTAGGACTGTGGGAGATGGCTTAAACAAGAGCAGCAGGGAAATGGGAACCTAAGTGGGGAGACACAATAAAGGGAAACACAGTTAGAAATGACAGAGAAAAATAAAAGGTAAAAGTGGAAAACAGAGGAAACAAATTCTAGCAGCAACAGGGCTTTAGGAGTAAAAATAAAGGGTGTAATTATTTTTATTCACTCATGGGATATGAACATGGTTGGCTGGGCCAGCATTCATTACCCATCTCTAGTTACCTTTGAGGTGGTAGTGTTGAAGTGTCTTCTTGAACTGCTGCATTTCATCTTGTGTAAACCCACAGTGCCATTAGGGAAAGAGTTCTAGGATTTTGACTGAATGACACATGGAGTGATGATATATTTCCAAGTCAGGATGGTGACTGGCTTGGACAGTAACATGCGGGTGGTGGTGTTTCCATGCATCTGTTGCCCTTGTTTTAGATGGTAGTAGGCATGGGTTTGGAAGGTGCAGTCTAAGGAACCATGGTGAATTCTGCAGTCCATCTTGTAGATACACTGCTACTGAGCATCACTGGAGTAGAGACTGAATGCTTGTGGATGTAGCGCCAGTCAAGTTTCTGCTTTATCCTGTATCTGTCAACTTTCTTGACTGTTGTTGGGGCTGCACTCATCCAGGTGAGTGAGCAGTATTCCATCATTCTCCTGACTTGTGCCTTGCAGATCGGGAGTCAGGAGGTATGTTACTCATTGCAGTTATTCTGAGCCTCTGACCTGCTCTTGTGGCCACAGTAGTTACATAATTAGTCCAGTTCAGTTTCTGGTCAATGGTAACAGCCCTCCAGCTGTTGACAGTAGGGGATTCACTGTCTCCTTCCCCTTATTATTTCTTACCTCCAACCATATGGATTCTATATCTTCTGAGGTCAGTTCTTGCTGTCGCACTTATTCCTCCTCATACCTTTTCTAATTCTGAATATCCAATTCTGAGTCTTTGTTTCCTTATAACCATGTCTGCACAATGGCTACAAGTAATATGCAATAAACTCTCTTTGTGCCATTAATTCATTTATTTTGTTCTGCATAAAATGCATTTAAGTAATGAGCTATTAATTTTGCCTTTCTACCATTTTTTTTTCTCCTTTTGACCCTATTTGTTGCTGTTTCTCTATGTTTGCATACTTCATCCCTTCCTGTCTTCCTGCCCCGCACCACATTATCATTATCCAAGTACTGTACTGCTGTCATATTATTTTGCTGCATAAGCCTAAATGTCCTCTCTGCCAAATCCTCCCCTCTCTAATTATTTTAAAGGTCTCTAATTGGCTTAATTAAAGCCCAAATTAATCTCATTAAAACCCTCTAATTAGTTTAAAATCTTTTGTAAGCTTACATTCAGCCAAATCTCCTCTCCCTCTAATTAGCACAGAGAAGTAGCAGTGATAGGAGAAAAAACCTTTTTTACGCAGCAAGTAATTGGGGTCTGAAATGCACAGTGTGGAGGAAATGAGTTCAATCAACGGTTTCAAACATAAATTAGTTGGCCATTTCAGTAGAAAGAATGTGCATGGATAAGGAGAAGGCAGGAGGATGGCACTAGATAAGATCCTCACTGGGAGAATTGGTGCAGGCACAATAGGCTGTATGGCCTCCTTTTGCACCATAACAAAGCTAGAATTCAGTAAAGTATAAACGTTGGTACAGACCAGTTGGCTGCATAACCAGTTTGCATATTACAGATTATATATAATCAGTGAACTATCATTTTGTCAGTAGGATTTGGCAGAAGTGGAGGGAGTTGATCTTGTAGAACGACAAGAAAGTAGTCTGTGAGATACAGCAGATTAGGAGCAAAACAATGCTCTGCCTGGACTTAAGTAGCAAATCTGCATTATTTTTCAAAGATAATTATTTAAAGAATGTAAGCTCCAATGGTTTTTTAAAAAATCTTCAATGATTTTACCCAAAGTCCTCCTAGATCTAGGAACATAGGAGCAGGAGTAGCCCATTCAGTACCTTAAACCTACTCCATCATTCTCAGTTATGGCTAATCATTTACCTCAATGCAATATTCCTGCACTATCCACATATCCATTGATGTCATTAATAATCAGTAATCTATCAATCTCTGACTTGAGGTTAATGACCGAGCTGCCACAGCCTTCCAGAGTAGAACATTCCAAAGACTCACCACCCTCTGAATGAAGAAGTTCTACTTCACCTCAGTTCCAAGTGCTTCCCTTTCATTTTGCTACTGTGTCCCCCTTGTACAGGGCCCTATAGTCTGGGCAATCCTGCATCTCTACTCAACAATTTTAAGCTTCTATGAGATCGCCTCTCATTCTTCCCGGTCTCCTCAACCTTACCAGACAAGATAATTCCCAGGAATCAGCATGGTGAACACCTAACAGTGCACTCACTTATGGCAAGTATCTCCTTCCTTAGGTAAGAGGGCCAGAGCTGCACACAGGTCTAATCAGTGCACAATTCAATTAAAACAAAACCTATCTGCTCCTGTACATAAATCCTCCTGCAACAGTTCACATACAAATTGCCTTTTAATTTGCTTGCTGCACCTACAGGCTAGCTTTCAGTGGCTCATGAACAAGACACTTAGGTCGCTTTGGACAGTGCACTTTCCAATCTCATCATTTTTAAAAAAAAAATACCCTGCACCTTTGTTTCTCCTACCAAAATGGATAAACTCATACATATCCACATTATATGCCATCTGCCATGATCTTATCCATTGCCTAAACCTGTCCAAATCCCCTCAAATCCTCTTTGCACTCTTCTCAAAAGTCTCACTCACCAAGTTTTGTACATTCTACAAACTTAGAATTATTACAATTAGCCCCCACATTGATATAGGTTGTGAACAGGTAGGGACCAAACACTGATACTTTCAGTATCCCACTTGTCAAGGCCTATCAATTTAAGAATAATCTACTTATTCCTATGCTCTGCTTTGTGCCAGTCCTCAATCCATGCTAGCATATTCCACCCAATCCCAGTTTCAAACATTTCCATCAAATAAGCAGAGCTGCAGGACAAAAATATTAAAATTTAGTCCAATAATCTTTAGTTTTGTTTATTAACCTGGTAGGTCGGTCGTGATTAAAGGCCTTCTGAAAATCCAACCACTGATTCCTTCTATCAGCTCAGCTACTATGATTTTCTTTCAGGATGTATCAGATTTATCATGCATGATTTTCCCACCCTAAGCTTACACTGGCTTTGTCAGATCAGAATTATTATCTAAATATCTAGTAACCACATCCTTTATAGATTTTTGTTTTCCTGACTACTGGCATCAGGCTAATGAGTCTGTAGTTCCTAGTTTTCTCTCACTTCTTTCTTAAACAGTGGGGTCACATTTGTAACCTGTAACATGCAAGCAGCACTGTAGAATTAATAGAATTTTGAAAAATTGCCACTAATAACATCTCTCTCGCTAACGCTCTTAATTGTCAGGCTGATAGCATTTTTGGGCAACTTTATAACATTATTAATTAATCCTTTCTCCTTGCATAAGATTACATCTGAAAGAGACTGTGCCCTGATTGGCTCCTCAATATATCATCCCGGAATTCTTCCTCAACAGCATTGGTACCAGATTTATCTAGTCTGTATGTAGACTGGAATCAGCCATGATTATTGTATGTCCTTTGCCACATTCACCCTAATTTCCTGATTTATACCCTGCCCCACATTACCACTACAGTTTGGTGGCCTATTAATTTCTCCATCTAATGTTTCTTAGCTCCATCCAAACAGATTTTACATCCTGCTCTTCCAACTGGAGGTCCTCTGTAACTAATACAATGATCGTGTCCTTTATCATCTGCACTACCCCATCTCCTTTTCTTTTTGCCTATCCCTCTTAAACATCACATGACTTTTAATATTCAGTTTCCAGTCTTAGCCATCTCTGAAATGGCAATTAAATTGGATTGTTTTACTCATGCCATTGATTCATCTAGCCTGTTCCAAATGCAGCATGTATTCAAATAGATTGTTTTTAATTCTGTCTTTTTTAAAAAAAATCACTATTCTGTAATTTGACCTTGGTTGATTGGTCTCTGCTGCTTACCATTTTCACTTAAGGATTTTCTACTTCTCATAATTAGCTTGGTATTTATTCTATGTCAATTCCTTCTTAGGTTCCCATTACCTAACAGACTAATTTGAACCCTCCACAACAGCACGAACAGATCTCCCTGCAAGTGTATTAATCTCAGTCCAGTTAAGGTGTAACCTGTCCTCCTTATAGGAGTCCCACATGCCCCAAAATCAGACCCAATGCCACAGAAATCTAAAGCCCTTCCTCTTGCAGCAATCATGTGTTCGGTTGCTCAACATTCATGTTTCTACACTCACTAGCACGTGATAATTTGAACAATCTAGAGATTATTACATCAGAGGTCCTGCTTCACAGCCTCATGCCAACCTCCCTAAATTTTACTTTCAGGACCTCATCCTTTTTTCTATCTCCATCATTGGTACCAATGTAGATCATGATCTCTAGCTCTTCACTTCCTCCAAAGAAGCCTGCAGCTGCTCAGTGACATTCTTGATCCTGGTATCTGAGATGCAACATACCATCCTGGAGTCAAGTCTATGGTCACAGAAACACTCGTTTCTTTCCCAGATGCGGAAATGCCCACCTTTACTGTCCTTCCACTCTTCTTCCCCAAACTCTGCAATTGAGTCACCTGTAATGTCACTTGTTGGGCCATGTTAAATAACTGCGTTGAAACACTGCCCTCACCAGTATTCAAAATGGAAACCCACGTATTGAGTGAAAAAGAGTCCGAAGACTCCTGCATTTGACCTTCCTAGATGGCTCAGTGGTCACCCATTCCCCCTCTGCCTGCCTGGTTTTATGCTATGGTGGGATCACAGCTTCACAGTCACACCATAGTGACTCCAGCCACTCTCAAGTTTGAAAACCCCGATTTCAAGTTGCTGTAGCTGAAGACACTTTCTGCAAATGTGATTGTCTGAGTCACATACAGTGCCCACAGCTCTTGGCATCTTTCAGTTCTTACTGCCATCTCCGAGTGAGATTGATTCCATATCTCAGGGTACTTGTCTTGCTTACTCCTCTAGGTGCTGTTAACTGCCTGCCATGGGGTCTTTCTCTTATATTCTCTGCTAGGTACTGCCTGACTGCCTTGTCTCATATGCTCCTCTACTGACATACTGGCTTCATTATATTCTTTAAGCTTTCCTTATTCTTTTGTGGTGGGTGGATGTTACTGGCTGGCCAGCATTTAGTGCCCACTCCGAGTTCCCCTCAAGAAGATGGTGACGAGCTGCCTTCTTGATCCACTGAAGTTCATGTGATGTGGAAGACCCACAATGCCCTGAGGGAGGGAATTCAAGGATTTTGACCGAGTGACATTGAAGGAACGGCAATATATTTCGTAGTCAGGATGGTGAGCAGCTTGGAAGAGACCTTGCAGGTGGTGGTGTTACCATGAATCTGCCACCCATGTCCTTTTAGACGGAAATGGTCGTGGGCTTGAAGGATGCTGTTTAAGGATCTTTGGTGAATTTTTGCAGCGCTGAATCCTCAATATTTTAAGATGACACTGTACAATGTGCAGATGACCCAAACCTTTAGGCATATTTCTGAAAGTTATAGCCCTGACACTTTATATAATTCTTGGAAATCTCCTTCAGTGGTTGGAAAACAAATGACAGTATATATGCATATAATAAATGACATGTAACAAAACATTCTTAAAAAAACCTTAAACTACAACAGTTATGCTTGCTTTTCACTTCTGTGCAATTTACTTTGCATCACATGAAATGAGCCTGTTGCCTTCAATGGATATTTTCCCCATTTGGAAGAGGGAGGGCAGCAATATAAGTGAGCATTAAAGAAGGATCTCCACCAGCTTCTCTAAATAAAACAGTAGGACCACTTTGTCTGAAAATTTTCTAGACCATATATACAGCAGTTAACAAATGCTACCTACCAGACTCTGCTCAATAAGAAGACAGAAAAGAACAGCATTGCCAACTTCTCGTAAATTTTGAAAACACACAGTCTTCAGTTCCGCATACTCCACAATGTCTTTCAGCTGATGATGGAAGAATTCCAGAATTCCTATTGTTTACAAATACAATATGTCAACCATAAATTATTGCACATTTCATAAAAGTTATACAAAGTAATCTAAATGTTTCTATGACGGCATCAGGACGATGAGGAACGAGGACTCCACCTGCCTTTTCAGTAGTCCTGATGGACATTTAAAGATCTGGAGGTTAATCAAAAAAAGAGTAAAGATTTCTAGGTTTTTGACATGGAGGCAGTAAATAGGAGTCTGTGTTGCAAAACTGCCTCCAGCGGAAACTGCATAAATTCACGATTTTCACAGGGTGAGCCTTTAATTGGCATGGATATGGGTTTCCTGTCCAATTAAGGGCCAGCTCTAGAAGCTAAAGGGTCAGTCAGAGGCCTTTCAGCTTTGGAGAAGTACCTAGCTACAGTACAAAGAAGGCAACTGGTTGGGTGCCTCAATGAGGTGTTGCCCTTCCGGCAACTTCTTAAACGTCTATTTCAAAAATATAGAAAGCAGCCAGGTGACCATTGTTGTACTTTGCTCCAGACAGGGTCTGTAGGCTCCATCTGGATAACCCTAGTTAACCTTCTAGATATTCTGTCATCAAACTCTTCAGAGATGTTAGATATTTCTAACCAAACTGTTGAGAGATGTTATTATTACCTCTGCTGCATGTCCAGAGTACGGACATTATCACTGCACAAGAGCTCCCAGTCAACCTTCTAAACAACACTTCATGAGGCTAGATTATCTGCCTGTATCGTGAGGTGGCCTGTCTTCTTAGGCTCAAAATCACCACCTCCAAAATCAGGAACAGTGACAATCAAAAGCAGGAACAGCGACAATCAAAACCAGGAACAGCATCCCAAAACTAACATGCTAGATGATGTCAGCATCTTCAAGTCTGGAAGCTCCCTGCTGCATCTCCATTCCTGAGTGCTTTTATTATTGTTGATGGTGTTTACTTTTGGTCAGCTGAGTGATTAAACGAGCAGAAACGTGTTACTAAGGCAATGATCAATGCAAAATGTTACCACTTCTATTCACTGAATGTAGATTTCATATTTTCTTTGCAACTTGAAGGCTTGCATTGGTTGAATAAAAAGATTTGGAGAAATGTCAACTGATAGCAATGATACTAAAGTTCGATGGCTTAGTGCCATACAGTTGAGCGGGGCAGGGGCTTGATAAATATTCCTTCATCTGCTGCTACTGCACTGTAGTTAGCCTTGTATGGTTGTCCTACGATTGAGATGATGAATGCCAGCCATGGTGAAATCATCCTCTCCAGCTTCCATTAATGAGACAAGCTGGATGGTCAGTCAAGAGAGGATTGCCGGTCTCTCCAAAACTGCTGGAGAAGTTTCACTCTTCCAAGTATGAGCTACTAGCTACCAACCGTACTTAGAGTAAAACAATTCTTCCGGGAAGAACATGTCCCTTCCGGGGACATTGTAGCCCATCAAACAGTAGTTTTATTAATTTTTTAAAAATGTGGAGCCTCAATAAGTAACAAACTTCTCTACAGTAGAATCACAGAATCCCTACAGCACGGAAGAGGGCATTCGGCGCATCCAGTCTGCACTGGCCCTCCAAAGAACTTCCCACCAAGATCCAGCTCCCCCACCAAGACCCAGCCCTCTGCCAGATCCCCATAACCCCACATTTACCATGGCTGATCTACATAGCCTGCACATTCCTGAACACCTCAAGACAATTTAGCATAGCCAATCTACCTTTGTTCTGTGGAAAGAAACTAAAGCACCTGGTGGAAACCCACACAGACACGGGGAGAAGGTGCAAACTCTGGACAGACAGACACCCAAGGCTGGAATGAATGCTGGCTAACCACTGAGCCACCATATCATCCATGCCACAAAACAATGCTCAAATCCATGAAATAATCAAAAAATACATTGAAGGGAAGCTTATTATCTGTAATTGAATGAAGGAAACCACTTCGAAAGAAGTTAACTAACATCATCTCTCATTTTTTCAATCACCAGGAACAAAGAAAAATAAGGGGCAGGAAAATGCTACAATTTTGAAGTCTGCTTGCAATACTGCAAAGCCAACGCACCTGCCAATTTGAGTTGCCAAATCAAGATCATAACACACAAATTATTCCTCACAGCCGCCTTGAAGCTATTGTCAAGGGAACTAATTTGCATGTTGGCCACTGTATGCCCTCTTCCAGGTGAACTACAGCTAAAAATCCAAGAATATGCACTTGATAATGACCACGATTAATTGACTGACTTTAAATTCTGTTAACAAACAAAAATAAACAGTTGCTGGAAATATTGACAATAGTTTTAAGCCTTACATGTTGCAGAGGGCACTTGTGGTGCAGTGGTTAGTGTCCCTACCTCTGAGCCAAGAGTCTCCAGTTCAAGTTCTACCTGCTCCAGATGTACGCAATAACATCTGTGAACAGTTTGATTAGAAAAATGTCCATGTCCTAAATGTTATGTATTACATCTTAATAAAGCACATTGGTGCAGGCCATAGACTGGTGTGCATTTTCACATTGTAGGACATTAAGGGTGAAAATTTTCATGCTAGATGTAAGATACCCTGAACACCAGAGGAAATAATGAACATTAATCTGACACTTCCAAATAGCTGTTAACTGAAAGTGGAATTGACTACTGAATGATTAGGTTTGTAACGGATGTCAACGGATAGCATCATGTATTGAATATTCATTAATGCAAAATGTGGTTTCTGGTTACCAATTTGGTCCTTGTGCATTTCTAACATTACCATAAATGGGATAACGTGTGCGAGAGTTTGGACAGAAAGTGCAATCCTCTAGTTAATTGTTTCAATTAGTTGTAGCGAATTGGACTTGGAATTTATTCCTGTAAACCAAGCTCAGCACAGAAATATTTATAAACATATGAACAGAATACTTATGAATTTGAGCAAATAACCTTAATCGGTCACAGAAGACAGAGTAGCAGTGGAAGGGTGCGTTTCTGAATGGAGGGCTGTGACTAGTGGCGTTCCTCAGGGATCAGTGTTAGGACCTTCTCTATTTGTAATATATATAAATGATTGGTAAGTTTGCCGATGACACAAAGGTTGGTGGAATAGCGGATAGCGATGGGGACTGTCAAAGGATACAGCAGGATATAGATCGGTTGGTGACTTGGGCAGAGGGATAGCAGATAGAGTTTAATCTGGCAAAATGTGAGGTAATGCATTTCAGAAGGTCTAATCCAGATGGAAAATATACAGTAAATGGCAGAACCCTTAAGAGTACTGATAGGCAGAGGGATCTGGGTGTACAGGTACGCAGGTCACTGAAAGTGACAATGCAGGTGGAGAAGGTCATCAACAAGGCATATGGCATGCTTGCCTTCGTCGGCTGGTGCACCGAGTTTAAAAATTGGAAGGTAATGCTGCAGCTTTATAGAACCTTAGTTAGGCCGCACTTGGAATATTGTGTTCAATTCTGGTCGCCACACTACCAGAAGGATGTGGTGGCTTTGGAGAGGGTACAGAAAAGATTTACCAGGATGCTGCCTGATATGGAGGGCATTAGCTATGAGGAAAGATTGGAGAAACTTGGGTTGTTCTCATTGGAACGATGGAGATTGAGGGGCCACCTGATAGAGGTCTACAAGATTATGAAAGGCATGGACAGAGTGGACAATCAGAAGTTTATTCCCAGGGTGGAAGAGTCAGTTACTAGAGAGCATTGGTTTAAGGTGCGAGGGGCAAGGTTTAAAAGTGATGTACAAGGCAAGCTTTTTTTACTCAGTGTGGTGGATGCCTGGAACTTGCTTCTGGGGGAAGTAGTGGAAGCAGATATGACAGTGACTTTTAAAGGGTGTCTTGACAAACACACACATAGAATGGGAATAGAGGGATACGGTCCCCGAAAGGGTAGGGGGTTTTAGTTATGATGGGCAGCATGTCGGTGCAGGCTTGGAGGACCGAAGGGCCTGTTCCTGTGCTGTAATTTTCTTTGTTCTTTGTTCATGATAGTACAGGATGAAATCATTGCAAACAACCCAATCCCACCATTTTCTTTTTGCCTCTCCTAAGTATTGAAAGCCTTCTGACATTCAGTTCTCAGCTTTAGTTATTCCGCAAATATATTGCAACAACTTACAACTGTTTTTAAACATTTTTATACTTTATTTTGTAGTAGGGTCTAATTTGTTGCTAGCCCTTATTTCCTCTGCCTTCTGCTTTTGCTCTCTACTTTTCTATCTTTCATTGCTATCTTTTAGCATTTTCCTGTCTTGTCTCCAAATTCAGGTTCCCATTCCCTTGCTACTCTAGTTTAAATCCTCCCTCACCATCCGAGTGCCCCATGAGGATATAGGCCTTGACCCCGCTGGGGTGTAACCTGTCCAGCTTATACAGGTCCCTTCTTCCTCAGAATCAGTCCCAATGCCTCAGGAATCTAAATCCCTTCTGCTACACTATCTCTCCATCCATGCATTCATCATATTCTCCTTTTCCTGATTTCACTGGTACATGGCACAGGGAGAAATCCTGACTTTGCCACCATTGACATTTGCTTTTCAATTTATTTCCTATCTCCCTCTATTCTGCTTGCAGAACCTCAACCTTCACTTTTGATTACTTCTTTGCTGAAATTACTTTGGGTAAGTTCCAGGACATGATCATTTGCTGAGTAGACAGCATTGACAGTAACCGGCAAAGACCCAAAAATACCGAGTACGCTAAGCCATTGTTGCCGACATGGAGCACAACTTTGGCTGTT